GACTTGCCACGGTCTCCAACCCTCCTCCTTTCTCATCCGGGCTTGGGACCGGCCATGGCGGAGTTTGGTTATATGTTGCAGCAAACATATAACCGTTAATTTCCACCAAAATGTTTGATCACTGAACATAAACATTTTAATCAGAGGAACGCTTTTATGGAAGACGACTATTCTATCATGCCCTCGTGCTCATCATACCCAGGAACAGATAAACAGCAGCACTTCATCTTGGTAAGTCCTTTGTGGTTCCGTTATAGCAATTCCATCCATGATCTTTGAAATTAGTACGTGACAACTTTTTTGTGATATTTAGAGATACAGATGGATTTCTTTCCTCATTTTGGACTAAACACTTTCTTAGTTTTCCGTAACAGTAATAAGTGGCACTCGTTTTGCTTTTTTTGCTATGCCGCAATATGGTATTTGCCGGTAATTCTATTTAACCTGTGAAATAATCTTTCAGGCGATTAGGTGTCCGGTCCTCCAGCGCAGCGTCTTGTCATTCTCTACAACACCGTGCCTTTGGCCGTCCCCCTGTGATCTCTTTTTTTTTCTCTACGTGCAGTGTTTGAACCGTACTGTGTAAACATTCCTAAGGTCTTCTCTCTCTACATTGCCGAACCAATGGTATTTGCTTCGCAGCAAACCTTCATGCTATTGAATAATCCCGTTTCGATCATTCCCGCAAGCGCCGATATGCAAATGCAAAAGCTTTTGGATATGTTATAAGGATAAAACGGAAGAGACTTCATAGGAGCTTCATTCTTTAGTTAAAACCAAAGAGAAGCCGACTCAGCGACACATTGTGAACAAGACGACTGGACTAGAGAGTAACCTAGAATTGTTGTATGATGGAATCCAAACCAAAGAGTTTGTGTTTGGCGGCGGAATGCAAAACAAACAGTGCTCCACCCCGGGAAGTCCCAAATAATGTGCGCTGGAAATGCATGAATGAATGTATTAACCCGGAGTATACCCATAGTGAAAACATTTCGCATGTGACCATTCTGACCGATAACATACCTCCGCCCGCACTTATTCCACACAGCTCAGCTGTTGATCATCTACCTTCAATAATGTTCAACATTCAGCTCCAACAACCAGCGATGGGCTTAATACTGTTCCTCTGAGAAAGAAACATTCGCAATCAGAATTACATTTTTAATGAACATGGCGCAACTTGCTTCTTATAGAACATGCCGTTAATCACACTTAAGTACAGTCAAGCATTTTTATAACGATTCTATAGAAACTTAACTCGAATATTTTAACCCCATGCCTGGCATGCATTCAGCAAGTCAGTTCGAAATTATGCACAGGGGATATGTAAACATCATGCACGTACTCCTTTAAGAACCAAAAGATATGAACACTGGATAAGTGCAATCATCGCCTGCACATTATCTAAGATCACTGACCAGGACATATGTACATCCAAAATGAAGGAGCATCGTCAGATTCAGTTAATATCGATGGTCGATTTGACTAAGGTGAAGTGCTAAATCATTTGGAGGTTAACATCACGGCGATCCATGTTATGCGGAAGAGGGCCTTTCAAAATTACAACGAGGGATTGACCATCGCTTGTGCCAAGAAAAATGACCCTTGTCGCAGCATCGAACTTTGATGAATATCAATCACCCCCCCTCCTCCAAACACACCCATACACACATACATGCCTCTTTCAGGAATGCTTTAACATTACCTGCATACGAGAAAGGATCGAGCGAGTGAAGAATCCAAGGTAAAGTCTACGCTGCAAATGCTTGTAAGTTTTATTGTGCTTAACCTGAAGACTAACATTGGTATAATCGAGATATCATATATCATACTTGAAAACATCCTGAGAGTGAACATCATTTAAAATCATTGTGAAATTTAATGAATTAATAAACGAAGGACAGTTTTTAAACAAACAGCACTGTTTGTGCTGAAATACCGTGGAGCCTTGGTCAACTTCAAACGTCCCCTAGACCACCAGAAGCAAGGGGCTGTGCGACTATGCCGTGTGAATGCCCAGAAATGTCGGGAGAAAGATTATACCTTCAAATACTTGGTCGAATACACGTTCTTCGCAGCAGATGACAACGTCGAAAGCTTCTCTGCACTCTTGGAACCGTTCCGGTTTGTTTTTGATGCGGCGATTTCGATCGAGCATATTCAAAATGCCATTCTGCGTGTACCTGAAACGATGGTCAGTTCTAGAAACGACCAGTCATTAAATTAAAGGAAACGACAAACGTGCATGGATCAATGTCAAAACACTTGCATGGCAGATTACTGTACTTTAATGTTTGTTCAGTAACAGGTGCTGCGAGTTCATTAGTTCGTTTTTGCCGCATTTCTAGTTTCAATACAACTAGTAAGATGCATGCTATCGACAGGAACCATATGAGTCATGAAACCTATGCATTTTTCAAATATTAAGCTACCTTTATTCTGAGAATTCTTTTACGGTGCTGTTTGATATAAGACTTTTGTGATTCTATATAGAATTTTGTGCCATTACGCACCTACACAGAACAAGAATATGTTTCTTGATTCCGTTTAAACAGTCGGACTTTAAACACTACAACCAAACTGCTTTGAAGCGGCAAGAGCTGAAAGAATTAACGGTGACAATGAATGTGGGATCAATCTTGCACCTTGACAAATTCAATACGAAATCATACCAGAGAAGTACGTGCTACTTTTCTGATCTTCTCACTGAGTACTTCTCAGAAATTGAGTAACTCCTTCGACAATTTAAAACTGAATTTGCGCGCTAGGAACTAAACGACCGAAGATTAAGAATGGTATAAATTTAATACGGGTGATCAACCATGCAGGTGATCAAGTAACGTTTAATAGCATGTGCATGACTATACAGATCAATCAATCAAATCAAGAGTTCAAAAGTTCAAATTAGTGGAAATAATACGTAAAACTAACATCGGCTAACTTTTCGGCAATCACTGACCGAAACGACTGATGGATAGCAATCTAATATAGACGAACATCTAAATCTATAGGCTATCATAAGAGGATCCATTTGTGTCGATACCGCCTTTTCCGTTCCTCTCTGCAGAGTCCATGATATCTACGCAACAGACATTTTCTGTAAGCCTCAGCCCTCGCACAGATGCAGATATGTTGTAGAATAAAACCTCGAAACGCCTTTTATGAAAGCTTAGTGATGGAGGGAGAGGATCAACTAGAACATTTACAGTAGATCCTACAACCTGACCTACAATAAAGTTTACGACATTCATGAAGGACAGCTGACCTGTTCTGCCGACAGTTTCCAGAAGCGATGGGAATTATATGCGGTGTGCAAGTTCTAAAAAACAGTACTTAATTCCCTGTAGGGTTTATACTAAAATTTA